TATATATATATATAAATACATAAATATTAGTACTATAGTCGGATAAATGTTATTCCTTATTATGATTGTAATTAATTCACCTTTTTATTTAATTTTGGTAGTTTATATAGTTAAAATATAGTAAGTAAATTATTTTTTTTTTCATAAAAAAAAAATTAAAAAATTGTGCTCTTAATTTCCGTTTAAGATGATATTTTTTTACCAATATTTATCAAACGTTATTTCGAATCAATTTTTTAAAGGTGTAGATCTTCCAAGATTTTTTGTTTTTTTTTTTTGTCGTTTTGACGCTATAAATGTTTGATTTTTAACCCTAAATTAGCCAGGTAATTCTTCTCACCTTCTCTACTTTGGCTATAAGAAAAAATCTCACATTTAACTAACATACGATATAAACAAATACGGCGACTGAGCGTCTAATGAAAACACTTGAATTACGTCGTACAGAACTGAACAGTGCAATTTTTCTATCCTTTAATATTCTGGCAATCAGATACCGCCAAGATGAAAATATTTTTTTTATCTCATAAATAGAAAAGAAACGTTTTTATCGTACAGTCGAGAAAAAATATAAAATTTGAGGACGATAAAAAAATTTCAAGTGACTTTTCTATTTTAATTTCAAAAAATATTTGAGATCGTAGAAGAGCGTGCCAAATTCTCATAGCTGAAGTATTAAAAAGTTGAAAAACTTCATAAATTAACTTATGCGGAGCGTAGGTGATATCGATAGCTCCTACTCAGAATTGTTAAATTCCTGCCAATCAAACTGTTGTTGCATATAGGAGAAAAATATATTTTTAATCTTCTACAGCAAGTATGACCAAAAATTGCAATTTTAGTTTTTAATCAGTTGGTCAGAAACACACTTAGTTATTAGTAGATTTCATAAAAATCTAGCTATTGTATTTGTCCTCATGCCCGCATGGAAAAATATATATGCGAAAAATATATGCAAATATATATTTTCACATATATTTTTTTGCGCTAAATATATGTCCACATATATGTTCACATATATGTCCACATATATGTTCACATATATGCGTAGATATATGTTCACATATATGCGTAGATATATGTTCACATATATGCGTGCATATATGTTCACATATATGTGCGCATATAAGTGTCTAGAGATACACAGAAAAAAATTTAACTTAAATCAAGAAAATAATTTTGAAAAATTTAACTTTCTTGATTTGAGTAAAAAAATTCTCAAACTTAGAAATTTTTTTGTCAGTGTATGCTTACATATATATCTACATATATGTCTACATATATGTAAGCATGTATCTCTGCATATATGTCAGCATCTATGTGAAAAATATATGTTGATATATTTTTTTTTTGCGTAAATATATGCGGCATACATATTATTTATGCGACATATATTTTTGACATATATATTTCTCCATGCGGGTGACGCAACTCTTAAAAAATTTTGCTATATTCCGACTTAACTCGACGAGCTGAGTCAGAAAATACATATGGTTCAAAAATTTACACATATATTTATATAAGTTTTTATATATATATATATATATATATATATATATATATAT